CCTCCTGTCTTAGCCTCCTGAGTAGCTGGGACTACAGGCATGCACCACCATGCCCGGCTAATTTTTGTATTTTTAGTAGAGACGGGGTCTCGCTCTTGCTCAGGCTAGTCTCAAACACCTGAGCTCGAGCTCGAGTGATTCTCCTGCCTCGGCCTTCCACAGTGCTAGGATTACAGGCGTGAGCCACCACACCCAGGCTGAGAACTTTTTCTAAAAGACAAAACTGTGCACAATATCCTTCTTTGTTCCAAAAAGGATTAAGGAAGTTTACAAGGATACGTAAAATACGCCAAGATAAAAGGCAAGAACAAGATCCATGTGAACAAGCACAGACACTGGATGGGCCCAGGAACGCTGCTATCGGGAAAATGCTTTGCGTAAAGTCTACCACGCATTCTCAAACTATGGCCCACGGGCCATATGCGGGTGTTTTTGCCCGTTTGTTTTTTTACTTCAAAATAAGATATGTGCAGTGTGCATAGGAATTTGTTAATAGTTCTTTTAAAACTATAGTCCAGCCCTCCAACAGTCTGAGGGACAGTGAACTGGCCCCCTGTTTAAAAAGTTTGAGGACCCCTGGTATGCACTTGCTATTGGGAGGGCCCACAGATCTGTCCCTGGGTTATTTTAATTACCTGTTGAATTCACAACAGGATGACAGCTGACTCTCAGTTTGTGTTAATTACCTCCTTGAAAGTGATTTTGATGACTCTGTAAGGTGTCTCTGTAAGATGTCTCTTTAAGGTGAAAACAAACTAATTCCTCAAGGAAGGAACACCTCCTTTGCGACTGAGACAAAACAATTTCTGCACGGGTGCTGTGACACCTTGTGCAATGGAACTGCGTCCTTACAGTAAGCACAAGGATGAAATTTCATGGTGTTGCTTCTGACAGTATCCTAAAAATGGCCGATGGCATCATGCTCCTATTTCCCAGGTTTGGGTGCATGTGGGCACTGAGCACTCTGCACTCTGACTGCAGAGCCCAGAGATAGACCGGCTTAAAACAAGGTGTGCAAAAAACAAAACAAAACAAAACGGGTGCTCAGTTCAAACCCATCTTGATGACTCTCCCCAAGGCTAGGATCTTTCCCGACCAGGCCAGCCCTCAGGAACTGGGCTTTCCTTTGCGTAATTTGTCACATAGCAGAAGCTACATCATATTGCCCCAATGTGTGTGTTTATGATTTTAAACCCTCCCAGTGCGGGGACCACATCTCATGACTGTTTACTCCCAGAGTTTGTCCTTCTGCCCTGCATCCACCAAACACTCATGTACAAGTTAAGTGCTTGTTGAGGATGATGATGATGGCAATGAAAGAATTAAGTTGTGAGAGGAGCCCGTATGTTATCAGGACCTCTCCCTGGTCCAGTAGCCTTGGTCTAAACTGCTGCGAGGCTAGAGCCTCCCCCACATTGGAACCCCAGATGTTTGCTCATCCCCTTTCTGCTGTTCCACTTCCACAGTGGGAACTCAAATTTGTCCATAAAGTTGTCATGGGAAAGGGGAAGAAGAGATGGTTCCTGATGACCACTTTTTGTTACCGCGATGATGTCCCAGAATCGTCATGGGTCAGATTGAACTCTCTCTGGCGCTTTAACTCCCTCACAGAGAACCTCATGCCTACAGTGCTAGGCTGCGGACCTCCTGAGCACATCATAAGCATCCAGTCTCAATCCTCCAGTTCATGAACTTAAACCCAGTGATCTGTATAGTCCAGAAACTAATCGGGAACAGAAAAACATAATAAGAAACTAGATAATAAACAAAATGTGTTGAAGAGATAGAAAAGCTTAGAGGAATTTGAGAGTGTAAGGCAGGGGTCCTCAAACTTTTTAAACAGGGGGCCAGTTCACTGTCCCTCAGACCATTGGAGGGCCGGACTATAGTTTAAAAAAAAACTATGAACAAATTCCTATGCACACCGTACATATCTTATTTTGAAGTAAAAAAACAAACGGGCCAAAACACCTGCATGTGGCCAGCGGGCCGTAGTTTGAGGACGCCTGGTGTAAGGATTCGACTGTAGCAGCCTCCTGGGGGCTGATGGAAGGCTGTGCGTGAAGGGCTGGAACCCAGGGGTGGCATGGGAACATCGGAGGAAAGTTCCCAGGAGGACCCTGGTCAGGAGTGGAGGGCTGGACAGGAGGCAGAAAGTCCTGCTGAGGGAATAATTTGTGCAGTGCCAGGATTACCCTTCTGACAGGAGAAGCTGGGTGATGCATAAACACAAGGTATGGTATTTGCCTTTTACTTTGAGTATTTGGACAAAGAAATGAATTGAGAGAAGTCCCACATGGAGCGCCTAAGAGTAATATTGTGATGTGATTAGATTGGAATTTTATAATATTGGAAAGCAGTAAAAGTAAGCATTTCTACTACAATGTGATGTTGCTAATCTGGTATTCAGACATGACACGTGGCTGCAGCGGGTAATTATGTCATCCAGTTGTAGGAGGCAAGAGATCTGTGTTGATAAGGAGGTTCTGAAGGTGAAGAGTGGTTTAAACAGGTCTCCTGTGCAAGGCGCCCTCTCCAGGGCATGGGCAGTGGATGCTACCCAGGAGGGGTGTCCCAAGACCCAGCAGAAGAACCAGGCGAGCTGTGGTTCACACTGGACCCTGGCTCTCCCCATCACCTTGGTACTTGCTGAAAGGGAGCATTGCTGCAGGTGCTCAAGCAGGTCACCTGAGGAAACTTCCTCTCTTAGCTCAGACAGCCTCCTTAAAGAGCCGCCGACTCATCTACACCGTGGCCAAGTCCCCTCCCTGTGTGGCAGCTGGTGACTACACTCTCCATTGGCCACCCTAGCCACACCTCTCCCGGAGGCCAACACGATCTTCCAGACAAGCACCTGGGGCGGTGACAGAGGCCACACGCCCAGAGCCAAGAGATAAAGTTCAATCCACTCAAACTTTTTGTTTTACACAGGCAACATGACACCCAGAAACTTCGGGTTCAAAGGTTGATTATAGTGATCAAAACCTCCCCACATTTCCACCTGGAATGACAAAGGAAGCGTGGCAACATTTTTATTAGATTGGGAAACCACGTCCCACCCTCCTCTCTGAAGCTTCCAGATGTCATCATAAACCCCATCTGATTTCCAAGCTGGCGGGAGCCTTTCTGCGTCACTCTGAACAGCACGACTTGTGAGAAAATGCTGGTCTATTTTGAATGGAAATCTGTCTCCTTAGAACATTCTAAGGAGACACCCATTCGTGCTAGTTCTGCCCTCTGCGGTCACACAGAGCATGTCCACCCTTTCCCCGTGGCAGCCCTCCAGACGCCAGAAGAGAATGGTGGCTCTGTGCAAGCCTTCTCTTCCCCCAGAGTCGACGCCCTTCCAGGCGCTCCAGGCCTCCAGGGACCTGCCCCAGGCCCCCACCAGCCTGGTCCCTCTCCTCCATCTGTCACCTCAAAGTTCTTGTTCTGCAGAGCTTTTCAGCATCTGTCACCTCAAAGTTCCTGTTCTGGTTTTCCTGCTGGGATGAAACGCTTTCCAAACATTCCAGAAATTTGTTATGGTCCCGGCGGCCAAACCCACAAAACCCAGATCCCAGGCTCTCCCTGAGCAGCCCAAGAACATGCTCAAATCATCCTCTGGCCGGCTTGGCCCATGATAGATCTTGCTGGACACTATTCTTTAGTCCCTGGGATGAATCGTGAGGGTCTCTCATTGTTACTGTTGGCTGTCCCCTCGAGGTCACTGGCTGGGGGACAGACACCACCCAGATATATGGCCTTTGCCCTGAGTGTGGAAACCTGAAGGCACTGGCAGCATCGAACATCTCATTACAACACCCAAGTGACTAGGTCTGCTTGATGGAAAGCGAGTCAAGACCCGGGAGGTCCTGGGCACTTGCCTCAGAATTTCCAGCAAAAGGTCATCTGTAAGGGCTGAACCTCCAGATTCCTGCCCTGAGGGTCACTGAAGAACCCCACCCTCAGCTCTGCCTGGCCAGCAGACTCGCTCCTACCAACCCCACCCTCCTCCTCTCAGTGGCCACACTGGCCCTGTGTGTGCCTCCTACTGTCCACACCCTACCCCAGTGCCCGTCACGTTCCACCTCCAGACAGGGCTCGATCTGCATGACCCTGCCTCAGTCCCTAGCCCGGGGCCTCCTGGAGAGAAGCCCCCGGGTCTTATTTAGTCATGTCACCAGTCCTAGCGGAGCCTGGTGCAAGGTAGGTCCTTATGTGAGACACGTTGGTTGAAATAAACAGATACCTTGGCCTTACTGTGTTGAGCCCCACCTATGAGAAAAGTGGGAATTGAGCAGCCCGTCCCCTGGGTGGGAGGCAGGAGGAGACCCGCACAGCTATCTGCTTCACCATCTCCATCTTCACAGGGACTACCTGTGGGTGGTGAGCTCACAGCATGGGGCCAGGATTCCCCCCAACCCCACCATTTGGTCTCTTCTGAAGCCTGAGAGCTCTCCTTATTCCTGGCTGGAGAATGTGCTCCAAGCCTCAGCCCATCACCTGCCTGTCTTGCCGACAGAAATTGGGGAGGAGAGCCTGGCTGAAATGGGGCAAAACCATCCTACCTGCAGTAAATACAAGGGGGAGCAGGTTCACCATGACCCCAAGTGCCTCACAACTGTTTTAATGTCACCCCAGGACAAGGAGCTAAGACAATGCCCAGCCTGCTCCATGCAAACCATGCCCCAGAGGTCTAGGGAGGCCCAGTAGAATGCATAATCTGCCAGGAAGATTTTGCAAGCAAAGTCAGAAGCCACTCTGAGCAGCTAGGTCCCTACTTCTAGACCCAGAGACTTCACAAGCTCACATAGCCCCCCTGCCAGCAAGTCCCACACAAAACAGGCAATGCTGCTGAAGAGCTGTGCCTTGTCGGAAAGACCAGCCAGCTTCTTCCTCTGTGGTTTCCATGGTGACAACAGAAGTGTTCGGGCCCATGACAGTGGGAATGAAGAGTGGAGCCTTCAAGTCTCCCTTCCTCATCCCAAAAGGCCGGGACAGAAGAGGTCTGTTCTTACCTGCTAAGATAAAGATGCCCACGAGAATCAGGAAGACCAGCAGGTAGAGCCCCAGGACAGCATGCTTCAGGGCTGACAGGGAGCCCAACTGGGTACAGCAGCCGCCCGCCCGCCGTTTGTGGCATGGACCTGGACAATAAGGGTAAGAGTGAAAATAAAAAGGACACTTGAAAACCCAGTAAGTTTTTTTTTTGTTTGTTTGTCTCATCTCTTCCTGATGCACACAGATGTTCATGTGGAACCTCTCGTGCCCCTTCTGCACGTCTGTAACGTGGCCATCTTGATGGAGAGCTTTCCAGAACCATCACAAGATGTTCAGCCTCTAGCTCTCCTCCCACCTCTGTGATCAGGACTGACCAGAGGACACATCCACAACTCGTGTGCTCACACAAACCACCCTCTTGAGCCAGTTCAGGCAGCAAAGAACATCAAGTAGGCTTGGATATGTGTCCTTTAAGAAGCGTCATCGTCCCATGGGACCTCTGGGGCATGGAGAGAATTTAAAACAGGAGTTGCAAGCTCAAACAGCCACAGGAGCCAGGAAGGGATGGGAACAGCAAATGAGGCCCTGGTGGGACAGAGGGGAAGTGACAGTGCATGCCCTCCGGGAGAGGCTGCCGTGCCGGAGTGAAGACCCGGTGCTGCCAGGTCCAGAATTTTCAAGACATCTCCTTGTTTTTAAGTGTTGGCAACTAACTCAAAAAAAAAAAAAAAACCACTGGGGAGTGTAAACAAAACACATTTGCAAGCTGGTTCTGAGCACCAGCTTGCAACCTTGGGTTTAGATTTACTGGTAAACATGGTCACTGCATCCTGTGAAACTACACAAGACTCCCCAGCTTCTGCCCAGAATGGGACAGTGAACCGTCATCACCGTAGTGGACCTTACAGACCATGGAGTCCAACCCCTTCGGTTCACAGACCAAGAACGTCAAGTGTTAGTCAGCAGCAGACCCTGCCTCAGGACCCCAGTGATCTTGCAGCTGAATTTGTCCTTCAAGGCAGCCTTCTCTGATGGCCCATGCAGAGGCCAGGAAACTGACTAACCTCCACCTGCTCTGCCAGCTGAAAGTGGAAGGGAAGGGAAGCTCTCCCACCCTGATGCCAGCAGGTGACATAAGAATCGAGCATTTTCAAGCCCTCTCCAGACCTCTTGAGTCCCCTTCCCTTGGCTTCCCGATCTGGAGATGCCACACCCAATTCTGGAGGCCACTGCAAGATGGAAAAGCCTTTCCTGTGATTTTGCTGGAGCTTGGGAGGGTTGTCATTGCAGTCATCATTGTCGCTGTTGTCATAGTCGTCGTTGACCATTTTTCCCATCAATCTGGGGTGTTGTGTGCCTGTGTCTACAAACAACTATGTTTAACAACTAACAGCTTCCTCTGGTACTTTCTTCAGAACTGTCCTCACATGGAGGAAGAAAGTTTTCAATGTCACAGTTTTTTCTTTTTTCTTTTTTTTTTTTTTGAGACAGAGTCTCGCTCTGTTGCCCAGGCTAGAGTGAGTGCTGTGGCATCAGCCTAGCAGCAACCTCAAACTCCTGGGCTCAAGCGATCCTGCTGCCTCAGCCTCCTGAGTAGCTGGGGTTACAGGCATGCGCCACCATGCCCGGCTAATTTTTTTCTATACATTTTTAGTTGGCCAATTAATTTCTTTCTATTTTTAGTAGAGACGGGGTCTCGCTCTTGCTCAAGCTGGTCTCAAACTCCTGAGCTCAAACGAACTGCCCGCCTCGGCTTCCCAGAGTGCTAGGATCACAGGCGTGAGCCACCGCGCCAAGCCCAATGTCACAGTTTTCAACTGTATAATTGCTGTAAATTGGCTGATGACACTGAAGAAAAAGAGAACAGAATTTGGCCCTCTCAAAAGGCCTGTCTCCGAGCCCTGCCTCCATGCAGACTCTGTGGCCACTGCTGACGCAGGATGAAGCACCCCCTCTGCCTGCAGCATGTCGCTTACGCCGCATCCCTCTTGCACTCCTGCTGCATTCTCCCCTGAGTCATAGTCACCCTTTTGCATGTTGCCTTCCTCTCTAAGGGGAGAATCCGAAGGGCACTGGCTGTACCTTAATCTCTCATTCAGCAAATAATTTCTGAGTATCCACCGTGGGCTGGGCACTGGCCTGGAAACTGGGAAGTTGGAAGTGGATGACACTGACAAAGTCTCTCTTCACGCAGCTCGTTCACTTCCCATCCCCCAGTGTCTAGCGTAAGTGTATCAGTTACCTATTGCCACGTAACAAATTAACCCAAAGCTCAAGGCGACTTTGAGCAATACATAGGTATAAATTTGTTATTTTAATAGTTAGGTATTTATTTTAATGTGTAATAGGAAGATGCTAATTTTCCACTTATGGGGATAAAGTCTCTGTCTTAAATAAATGTAAACTTAAATTTAAGTTTAATTTGAGCAGAAAACAAACAGAAATTTATTCTTCACACAGTTTCTGAGGAAGTCATGGATGTGCAAGGAAAGCTAAGATGTTATTAATTTTTTTTCAAATTTCGCACCAAATATGTTATTTTACATGTAAAATATAATCTGGGAGGAATCTGGGAGCCGCTTAGCTGGATAGTTCTGGCTCAGGGCCCCTCACGAGGTCGCAGGCAAGATTTCGACCAGGCTGCTGTCATCTGAAGGCTTGAGTGGGCGGGAGGGTCTGCTCCAGGCTGCTGGCTGTCTGCACGTGGCTGTTGGCTGAAACAAAGCCCCAGGACCTCACCACAACAGCCTCTCCCTCGTGACATGGCAGCTGGCTTCTCCTCGAATGAACGTTCCAAGGGAGAGAAAGAGAGCGAGCAAGAAGGAAGCTACCCTGCCTTTTGTCTCCTCTCAGAAGTGACACGCCATCCCTCCTGCCACATCCCATTAGTCTCACGAACCATCCCCCGGGGACAGGGACCATGGCAGCATCTTGAAGGCTGGCCACCAGAGCAGGGTGTTCAATAAATGTCTGCTCCAGTTTGGATCCCTGTAATCCTTAAGTCAAAAGTTCTACTTTGATTTTTAATAGTCTTTATTGTTTTAGAGTGGTTTGGGGCTTACAGGAAAATTAAATGGAAAGTACGAATCCCGTGTACCCCACAAATCCCGTAACGACACAGGCACAGCTCCCCACCGTCAATATCCCCACCAGAGTGTCTCGTGGGTTACGATCCACGAACCTGCACGGCACGTCATCACCCAGAGCGCAGCCTTTGCACTGGGGGGCACTCGTGGTGTTGCACATCCTGTGGGTTTGGACAAGTGTCTAATGACGTGTCCACCACTCCAGTGCCACACAGAGTAGGTTCCCTGCCCTACAAACCCTCTGTGCTCACCCTGTTCATCCCTCCCTCCTTCCTAACCACTGATCTTTTTACCATCTCCGTAGTTTTGCTTTTTTCCAGAATGTTGTGTAGTTGGAATCATAGAGTATGTAGCCTTTTCTGATTGGCTTCTTTCACTTAACAATATGCTTTTAAGATTCCTCCATGTCCATGTCTTTATATGGCTTGATAAAGCCCATTTATTTTATTTTGTTGTTGTTATTTTTAACAAAAAAGGAAGCATACTTTTTGCTCTGGCTCTGCCAATTGCATCATTTTGGAGTGTTTTTAATCTGTCACTAAGCTTAAATAATTCGAATGGTTTACCCTACTAATATGCTGTTGCCACTTGGGGAAAAAAAAGTCAATACATGTGTTTTGGGCAGCCTTAATAACTTGTCTTTTTCTTAAATTATCTTCTTTCCCTTGCAATTATATTCTCTGAGCATCTTGCCAGACCATTCATGTTCTGCTTTGTCTAACCGCTTGTGGAAAATCTGTATTTGAAACCCTTATTATGTTCTATTTAAAATAGATTTGGCTTAATGTGCGAAACAATCAAGTTTTTCTGAAAGAACTAAGCTCTCTCGGAGGAAGGCCTATGTTGCACGTGTTGGTTGGCTGAGGGACCTGTCACGGCTGGGTGCTCGCTATTAAATGGAAGCTCAGTTAGAGCGCAGTGGAACTATTTTAGTGGGGATAAGTAGGGCAATCTTACTGCAGTTTGACCCACTCCCACTCTGAGCTAGTCACACACGCAAGTGACTAACGCACCATTCAAGTTAGCTGTGCTGATGGCCGTGCAATTTTCCTCTTCCTATTCTTCCATGAGGCTAAAGAAGCAGGGTTCGAAGTAGAAGAGCTGGAACAACCATCAGGAGAAAGAAAACCAATATTTGTATAATATTACACAACGCCATTTCTACCATTCTGGCTCTTGAGGGACAGATTTCTCTCTGATAAGTTGCAACCTGACAGCTAGTGGTTCTCACCAGAAAAAGTAGATGCAATGTGGCCAGAAACCTACATGTTTAGGAGCAAAACCAGTTATAGATCCCACTGTGTGGAAAGGGCTAGAAAATCCCAGAAAAGAATATTTAAAGTGAGTTAGAAAGATGTGCTCTATTCAAGTCTTAGTTTGCTTAGGAAGATCAAGTTAACTCTTCAAAATTTGCCAACATTTAAGGGTTAATGAGAATGGTTATTGAATATGTATTTATTGACAACTTGTTCCATGCTATACTCAATGTTTTATGGAAATATTATGTAGTAGTTCTGCGTAGCTGTTTTTACAGAAGTATTTGCAATAAAATGGAGTGAGAAGGAAAATGTTGCTTATATAACAATAGCTTTGGCGGGGCAGGATTGTTTGGGTGCTAAGGCATCAATAGTCACCACCATTTCCGTTGTGGTTACAAAACCTCCCAAGCCAAGGATATGGTCATGTTACCTGAGAGGTAATACAGAGCCCTGGAAGTCCCTCCTTGCCAATGCAAACCTTCCAAGGAATTGCAAATGCGACACCATCTTTCAAAACATTTTCTAAATATCAAATGATCTCTTGCCAACCGTTTTCTACCCCCACACCTTCACACACAATAGGCTTCAGGTAGCAACATTCTCGAAGCGGGGGACACTCTCAAAGGGGGCTCTCACCTTCAGTGGGTGGGGAATAAGCATTATAGGGACAAGAGAATAGATACAAAAAATTAAATGCAAAGTGACCTGAAAAGCCAGCCCAGGCTGCCCCCTGAGCACAGGGCACACAGCCTCCCACGATTGCTGGAAGAAAGGCAGGTGGCTTCCCTGCCCTCAGCATCC